CGTCACAAACAACAGAAAGCAGCAGAAACGATTAAAGAAAAAGCCAACCTTAAAAGAAAATGCCAACCCTTCCCCTTTTCTTTTTCTATAGGGTATATATAATCTTGCAGAAGAGAGTCTGAAACCTATCCCTGATCTTTGGAATAAGCTGTGACCATAAAGCCTTTGGGTACCTGCTACCAGATACCACCACATCTCCATTCTGTGCCACATAGTCCCCTGATCTGCCATTCTTCCTCTGTTTCTCGTATTCTTGAACCTACCTTATGAGCGGCAACAGAGTCTGGATGACCCGTCCTTGTTGTACCTCCTTGCAGAGAGCCAGCTGCCGACCAATATAATTATTCCCATTACACTTGAAAGCCTCTCCAAGACTGCCCAGACGGCAGATGTAAAGAATTGTTGCCAAAGTGCTGCCAATGGCATATGCACCCTTCAAAGATTCTGATGATTTGAAGAAACAAAATGATGTGTATTGTAGTAGTTTGGGGGAACCGTCAATGAGATTTTCTCCATTCTGCAAACTCAACATGTACAGATACTTTGGGACTTGTAGTGGTGCCCATTCATCAACAAATCCATGGATCAAACCAAAGGCCTTCCATGTGAAATGAATAATCTTTTTCAACTCAGAGCAGACGGGTTTGATCTTGTTTCTCACCGTGAAAATGCTTTCATACTCGGTATCGACACGAAATGAAAGCATCTCATGGCGAACACTCCCAGGCAACATGGCAACCATCCTTGCTGAATACTGGCGCATCCATTTGTCTGCCCCTGAAATAAACGCCATTGGGGAATCCGGACTCTCGCGCACACGCTCTATTCCAGCCTGAACAAAGATTGCTGGTGATTTTGATCCAATTGTTGAAACAAGGAGTGGTAGCAAAATCTCGACCAGACAGCTGGGCAACTTCATCTTGTCAACCAGTTCATTCTTTAGAGCAGCATGATTAGTGCCAAGACACAATAAAATAGCGTCGTCTGGCAATTGATCTTGAACCAACCCATCTACTGCACTCTCCTGTACAACTCTATCCACATAAATACCGCCCCCACTTATTCCGGACTCCAACTGGCTTGCACCTGGCGTTGGACCTATGTAGTGCAGCGTGTGATACGCCATGCACTCCCGCTCAAAATTCACCCTTTCATGCCTGCATTTTGTAGAATTGTTCCTTTTGAAGTGTTTGGAGAACGAGTCTCTTTTAAGATATAGTCGCCCACATGGAACACAAATAAAAGCCCTCATCAGTTTGGGTTTGGCATCATCTTTGAATTTTACGTCGTCCCTTGTGACTCCCTTCAAATTTGCAACAGGACAGCTATTTGCTAGATGACGTGCGAAATAGCTGTTCAAAACCTGTTTCCCACAGAAGCACAAGCATCCACTTGGAGATGATAGAACAGTTAGGTTGGGCGCCGAAAAAGGATCATCGTCCTCTTTGTCCTCCGCGGATACAGCAAAATCCAAGTCCATCAACAATGATTGCAAAGTTTTTTGTTGTTTGCGATATGGCTGCTTCCGCGGAAACTCGTTTGTTTCATGCTCACGTAGGCCAGGCATACGTCCACCGCTATTTATTAGCACGGTCATGTTCAGCCCAGTCTTGCACACGCACAGGAACAGCATACTTCCACTGACATTTAGCACAGCCCCGTGTCCTATTGCTAGGTAATGTTTGGGGAATTAGAGGGGAATCAGCCTGCCAGGCGCTCGGGAGAGTCGGCCACTCCCGCTCTGGAAAACATGTAATTTCGCAAGATTGATGTAACTAACACACACAAAAACATTGTCTGTTGCACGTAGATTGTATTTTGTCTCATTGTTGTTTCTTCGATTCCTCCTCAAATTGTATGTTTGTTGCCTTCATCTTTTCGTCTCCTTGGAGGGAGTAAAACGCCTCCCATCATGCCATCAGTTGCTTGCTACGACTTGATGCTTGAAGGAAGATTTTTTGGTGACTGCGTCGTCATCGCGAGGCAAATAGCAATGTCCGCATGTTGGCCTTTGCGGCCGTAAAACCTAGCAGCTGTCTGGCATCGCAGTCTTGCCATACACGAGAACCTGTGTCACTCTCCTGACCAGAGGCATTCTACATCGTTCAGAGGACGTTGCTCTTGCTGACATGTAAGCATGTATAGTTGGTTGAGAACTATACAATAATGCATGTTTGTCACACTACTTCTAGGATCGCAAGATGAATTTTACTTTCTTTTTCATATGTCTAGCAGCGTGCAACAATGATTGCATCTTCTCCAGCAATAGAAGATTGCCAACATAACAATAATTTTGCATCTTCTCCAGCAATAGAAGATTGCCAACATAACAATAATTCCAAACCTTCTCCCTGACGATGTTTGTAGTAGTTGAAATCCTTGACGTTGTTCTTGAAAGATGGCCTAGTGACTGGAATTTCCGATCATTTCTCACAGTCTCCGTTCTTTTGCATAGAAGTATGCGTAAAACCATCAATTCTTGCCCAAAAGTAGAACAAAAAACAATCGCTAGCAGCACCTAATATAGTAGTTGAAATCCTTGGCTGATTGTTGTCTTCGATTCGACGTTGTTAGTGAAAGATGGCCTAGTGACTGGAGATTGAGAATGCTAAGTTTCTCACCTACATTGATGCCACTGTGTGTTATCGCCCGTGTATTCCCGTGCAGAACCTGAAGACTGACCATGTATTTGAAGCATTGGATAAGATATTCCGCCGCTAGAACAAGGCAGGCTTTCAAGTCAAGATCATCAAGTGTGATTGGGCATTCATTCCTCTCACAGATGATATGCTAGACACTATGGGTGTTACTATTGACCTGACTGCAGCTGGAGACCACGAGCCTACCGCTGTTCTTATCCTCTTAAGTCATGCACCAATCGTTTGGTATTCAAAGAAGCAGAATGCTGTCGAAACAAGTTCTTTTGGAAGTGAATTTGCTGCATTGAAGACTGGTGCTGAATTGGTTGAAGGTCTAGTATACAAATTGCAAATGATGGGCGTACCGATTGATGGCCATTGTCATACTCTTGTTGATAACAACTCTGTTGTGATGAACGCAAGTTGCCCGGAATCTGTCTTGAAAAAGAAAAGCAATTCTGTTGCTTATCATTATGTTCGTTCAAAATGTGCAAGTGATCTTATTCGGGTTGCTTGGGAAGGAACCAAAACAAATCTTGCCAATATGTTGACAAAGATTCATACTGGTAGACAACGTGCTCGTCTGGTGGAGTTTATTATGTATGAAGAAGACAAAATTCCAAGAGTGGTACAATCTGCGATCAAAGCTCTGAATGTGCTTTTTGGTCTGCCTCCACACTAAAGCCGATGAATCGCCTTTGCTTTCAGTGGGCATGGTCATCCTTGGACTGTGTCGGCTTGGGCGTCCTCCACGAGAGGTACATTGCAATGTTTCTTGATTCATGTATCAAGTCAACATTGAGGGGACCATTATTTTGGGAAGTACATGGTCTGTCTTCCGTACGTGTAGTTTTGTAGTCTGAAAGAACCTGGTAGTCACAAGTTTTCCTTGTCTATATTTCGTCCAGTGATTGATCTGTTTTGGCTGACTAGCAGCGCATTTTAACGGATATGCCAGAACTCACTGTCAGATTCCAAGGAGATGATGACTATGAATGAGATGACAATTCAGGTGATGAAGGCGATGAAGAGGAAGAACCTATTGGTGTGGCCAATTTGGATCACCATCAAGAAAATGTTGATAGAGGGACCAATGATATTGGGGGCCTCGTTACTGATCTGGGGGACCTCCAAGAGCCACCAGAAGAAGAGATTGTATTTGAGCCTGAAACGCCTCAAGTAGCCAAAGTCACTCAATCTGGGCAAACATATGCGCAAGTTGCAATGTCTGGGCTGAACCCTTCTCAAGTTCCAAAGAAACCACTACAATGGCCTTCAAGCAGGAGTGGCAGTTCTGCCAATAAGAACAAGAATCAGGTTGCGACAAGAAACAAGCATTGAGAGAGAGAATTGGAACCGTTGAAGAACAAGTTAAAATCTGGCACTTGTACCAAAGAAGGAAGTCGCAGTACTAAAGACAGTAAAGCTATCCTTGAAGCACAGCACAATCTATGTTTCCAACAGATTGGGAACAAGATAAAAGCTGATTATGAAGAGCACAATGCTATTCTGATCGCTTGTTGCATGATGAAGATCAAGGCCAAGTTTGATACTGAAGAAGGTCTGAACTTCATCCAACAGTACTACATCAATCAAGGACTGAAGAAGTTTGGTGATGATGGAAAGGATGTTGTGGATAAGGAATTGAGACAAATGCTTCTGAGAGATTGTTTCACTCCCAAATTTGTTAGAGACATGACCGCGTCTGAGCGAAAGAAGACCCGATCAGCAATGATGTTATCAGCGGAAAAGCAATTTGAAAAGACAATTAAAGGTTGCCTAGTATACCAAGGCGATGGAACTCGTGAATGGTTATTGCAAGAGGACACTGCAAGTCCAACTGCTTTGCAAGAAGCAATCACCACTACTTGTGTTATTGATGCACACAAAGGTAGAGATATAATGACGATGGACGTGCCTAACGCTTTCATTCAAACTTATATGCCTGAAGCTAAGGAGGGAGAAGATCGTATCTACATGAAAATCACTGGCATGATGGTCCAGATATTGATTGACATGGCCCCAGAGTATCGCAAATACGTTGTATTAGAGAACGGAAAGCGGGTAATCTATGTGCGGGTACTACGTGCTATATATGGGATGTTACAATCAAGCCTCCTATTCTATAATCAGTTTTGAAGTGATTTGGAGGCAAAGAGATTTGTTTTCAATCCATATGACCCGTGTGTTGCTAACAAAGTTGTTAACAAAAAAAAGCAAACTATCAGGTTTCATGTTGACGATCTTATGTCAAGTCACATGGATCTGAAAGTAAATGACAAATTTGCTAAGTGGTTGAACATGAGATATGGTTCGATCAAGGCATGCACGATCGTCAGAAGAAAGATACACAAATATCTTGGAATGACTTTGGATTACTTGGTGAAAGGAAAACTCAAGATCCGCATGGACGACTATGTCAAGAGCATGTTGGAAGGCTATTGGAGGCTGGGAAAGGAAAGTTACTCAATGCTGAGTACCGTCAAATCTTTCATACTACTGTTGGCTGGGAAAGGAAAGTTCCTCAATGCTGAGTACTTCCGTTTCTCTTGCCTCCACCAGCTGTCAGCACACCTTTTACTTGCCTCAACGTTTCAACCCTGATCTCCCACCTCTACCAGTGGACGCTGTCCGCGCCTTGGTCTTTGTCTTCCCTAGCCGTTCTCCAATCCACAAGAGCCGGGTCCTCCTCCACTCTACGGGCCCTCATCTACCAGCCAAAACATGTGCCCCCTAACTTCCTTCCTTGACCTCTGGCATCACTTTGGCAGTTTGGCTGAATCAGGTTCTCACGGCTGGGTTCCAGAGGTCATTACTATTGAAGGGAGTGAGGACCGCCTGGCTCAGGCTCTTCTTGCCGGTACCCTTTTTGCCGTGAGCGACGGCTCTTACAAAGCTAAAGTGGGCACCGCATGCGCTCAAATTCTCATTGAGGATTGCAGGGATATCATCTGGATCACCTGCCAAACCCCTGGGAAATTGGAGGATCAGAGTTCAAGGCGCAGCAAATTGATTGGCCTTATGGCTTCTCTCCTGGTGTTGGACTGGATATCTCAGGTCGCCCACCTGAAACTCTTTGCCAGCCCACCGTTGGTTGGGATGGCCTGCGACGGGCTCATAGCTCTTGATAAGGCAAGTCCTTCTCCAACGTCCACCTGTCATTGTCTGGTGCTCAGTTTGATCTGGTCTCCACCATCTGGGCCTTGCTTTGCCATCTTCCCCTCCAAGTTCATCGGCGCCATGTTAAAGGCCACCTGGACAAGCACCGGTCTTTCTCCCAACTGGACTGGTGGGAGCAGCGCAATGTGGAAGTGGACTTCAAAGCACAGTCCTATCGATGCTAGAGTCTACGTGCCGTTCTGTCGCCTCCAACTCCCGCTTCTTCCATGAACCTGTGTCTTTATTCAAGGATGGTGTTGAGTCTTCCAAATTGGATCAGGCTCACATCATGGAGCTGGTCTCTCTTCCTGCCCTTCGAGCACATTGGTCCTCCAAGGACCGCCTCTCCAAGCAGTCCATACATAAGGTCGATTGGTTGTCTCTTACACGTGCCATGAAGGCCCTACCGGCAGATCTCCACCGCTGGACACCCAAGCATATTTCTGATATGACGGGTGTGGGAAAATTCTTGGCCATTTGGAACCAATCGGCAAAGAGCTCCTGCCCCAGATGCTCCTCCTGCCCCATGGAAGATCACCTCCATGTTCCACCCTGTTCTGCTCCTACTGCAGTTGCAGAATGGTCAAAATGCCATCTGGCCCTCCTTACCTGGATGCAGACTCAGCAGACTGCCCCAGAGATCAAAGCCTTCACTCTCTAGCCAACGTCTTGCAGTCAACCCACCCCGTCTGTCGGTCGCACGTAAACGAGCGAAGGGTCTCCCTGAGACTCTGGGACATCCCGAAAAAATCTGTAGATTTCATTTTTTTCCGACCAAGCACCCCCTGCCGCAGGAAGATGTATATTTCACTTGGCGGTCCGCTCGTCGACGGGAACAGGCCTAAAGGTTTCACTTGGCGGTCCGCTCGTCGATGGAACAGGCCTAAAGAAATAAAAATAGACCCTTAATAGAAAAATTCAATTTGCTTATTGATTTTTTCTCTTATTAAATGTCAAAAATATCTTGGTCTGAAAAGCGGTCCCGCGGTTTTGATTGAGAGGTTTTAGTCAATCCTATAAGTGTATTTTGATCGCGAGCCAAAGTTGTTGTCAATAAACAGGCGCGGTTGCCGCTGCAGAGGTCCCATCAATCACTCGGTTGCGCTTGAAGAGGTCCCACCCCCTGTACTGGTTGCGCTTGCAGACAAATTCGAAATTGACAATACTGCAGAGCTGAGTGCTGAGTGCTTGCAACCGTTGAAACCTCCTTGCTTCATTAGGGCTGAGTATTTCCACTGCTATGCACCCGTTGACTCTCGTATCTCAGTAGAGATCGCCCAAACTGTTTTGGGGAGCCTAGAGCACTGTAGTTTTAAAGAAGCACACTAATTGGATATTATCGCCCAAACTGTTTTGGGGAGCCTAGAGCACTGTAGTTTTAAAGAAGCACACTAATTGGATATTACTGTATTACTGTACAATTCGATGTATCAAATTCTTTATCCTCTCACACATACCGGTACCGGTACATCACTTGACAAAGCCATCGGGTCAGTCTCGGAGTGACCGGGAGGGGTTGCTTTCATATTTAAAGGTATTTTCAGTTGTATTTCGATTTTTAAAAATCATTTAAAGAAATTCAGAATTGAACGATCTTCAACAGAGAAATAATATCTCCATTACCGTATGAATACGACAAAATGATGTAGCGTGTTAATTGAAAATTATCTGTAGATGATCGTGAAGATTTGAAGTTCTCTACCATCTACAGAGAACTTTGAATCTTCACGATCATCTACAGACTTTTGTTATATAGAAGGTGGTGGCGCATTAATTGAAAATTCCCTGTAGATGATCGTGAAGATAAAAAGTTCTCTGTAGATGGTCGTGAAGATTCAAAGTTCTCTGTAGATAATCGTGAAATGTGTTAAGTAATACTTATCTGTATTTCGATTTTTAATGATCATTTAAAGAAATTCAGAATTGAACGATCTTCAACGGAGAAATTATATCTCCATTACTGTATGAATACGACAAAATGATGTAGCGTGTTAATTGAAAATTATCTGTAGATGATCGTGAAGATTCGAAGTTCTCAGTAGATAATCGTGAAGATTCAAAGTTCTCTATAGATAATCGTGAAATCTGTTAAGTAATACTTATCGGTTCAATTCCACGATTATTGAATTTTCACGACCATCTACAGAGAACTTTGAATCTTCACGATCATCTACAGACTTTTGTTATATAGAAGGTGGTGGCGCATTAATTGAAAATTCCCTGTAGATGATCGTGAAGATAAAAAGTTCACTGTAGATGGTCGTGAAGATTCAAAGTTCTCTGTAGATAATCGTGAAATGTGTTAAGTAATACTTATCAGTTCAATTCCACGATCATCTACAGAGACTTTTGAATTTTCACAACCATCTACAGAGAACTTTGAATCTCCACGATCATCTACAGAGAACTTCTTGTTCTACGCGACTAGTGTTAAGTGTTATAAGGTGGCGCGTTAAATGAAATAGGCCTAAAAAACCTGTAGATGGTCGTGAAAGTTTAGAAAAAACCTGTAGATAATCGTGAAGATCGAAGATTCTCTGTAGATGGTCGTGGTTTTGTTAAGTATTATTTATTGATTCACAATCACGATTACCTACAGAGAATTTTCGATTTTCACGACTATCTACAGGTTTTTCCTGAGTTTACACGACCATCTACAGATATTTGAGGCCTTTTGCAATTTCTCGCACTGGCGGAAGGACAATCGCTCGCTTTTCTCCTTCTGGAAGGAGTGCCATTTTTGACCAAAAAAATCAGTTACAGATTTTTTCGGCATGTCCCTGAGGGCAAACAACATCAAAATTCATATAAATCCTCCGTTTTTTTTGCATCTAAAAAAGAACCTTTCAATCAACATGCACAAGAGAAAAGAGATACTGGTATGTCAAATGTATCGCTCTTCAAAGCTTATGGCGATGGTGAACCACCTCCATATTACAGTTTCAATCCTAAGTATACAAGCGATGAAAAATTTGGTCAGGGAAGAATCAAATCGGCCTGTTCTGAGGTCAAGAACAACTCCTTGAAACTGACAGGTAATGCTGAAAAAGACCCACTTGCTGGCCTTCATTGCATGGGTATTTTGGATCTTGTGAACCACGACAATATCAAGGATGTCATCATGGTCGTTCCATTCCAAGGAACCAAAAAATTGCGAGAGAAAATAGAGGCGTTGACAAGCTCTTGCTCGACGATGAACAGATTGAAATATGTGAAACAAAAGGTGCTCGTTGTCACAGGAGCAAAAGTTGAGCCTGTGAATAGGAGAGTAATCAAGGACCCTGATGGAGTGAAGATGTATTTTTCTTTTGGTTGACCAAAGGTCGACTTTTTAAATTTGAAGAAAGACTTCTTGTCTGGTCATATCGAGTTGTGGGCCAAACTTGAAAACAAAGTAACGGAAGTTTGTGAGTTTCTTGAAGGCGTAGTGTACAAAAAACAACACAACACGGAGAAGCTAATTGGATTTATCGATCACCTGCTTCAAGAATCAAGGGGTGACCGCCTTGCGGTATTGACCATCGTCCAGGAGCTTGTTGGCAGAGAGAAGGATTATTTGTTTCATCGTTGTCGGTTGATGGAGAAACCGAAAGATGATTGGATACACAGGCGGTTTGTGTCCAAGATTCTTCAGGAGTCACCAAAGGAACCTTGTTTTGTCTACAAAGTGGTCGGGGTGTTGTCATTGTGTTGGAGATATGCTGTTTGTGACGAATTGTGCAAACAACAATGAGACTGCTGGTGAATGATAATTGCAATGTGGAATTTTGAATTTTTGAATGAATATATCTGAGGTTCTTTTTTAGACGCAAAAAAAACGAAGGATGATCTATATGAATTTTGTTGTTGTTTGCCCTCAGAGGCTATGGAGAGTCCTTCGCTCGTTCACGTGCAACAGACAGACATAACGGACGACCCATAGACGATGGCTAGAGAGTGCAAAGCCTTCCTCTTTGAATACCTGAAGACAGTCCGTCAGCTTTCCTTGGGCGTCCCCACCGTCCAAACCTGGTCCCGCCATCCCCACCGCAAACTAGAACCTTGAAACATTCATGAATCAATTCTAATGTGAATGTGCACAGAAAAATCTGGAACAATGGTAAGCTCCAACAATAGTGAATTTCTCCTCAATATCAGATGCGAGGCTTTTGTTTTTTGTTTGTCTTTTCTTCAGTTGCCTTTCGTTTCTTTTACTTCTCTTTCTCTCCATCTGATGGTGGTACTCTAACGATGTCATCCAAATAGCCATTCACTTCATCTGTTTTCCTTACAATGCCTTGCATTTCTGCTTTTTTTGTCTTAAATTTTGGGCGGAGTCGCAAGACTTGCTCTGTAAAGTTATTCGTGGTGGTCTTGCTATCAGCTTCTCGATGGGCACCCAAAAAGCTGTGAGAAGCAAGAACTTCTGACATTTCATCGTGAACTCCTGTCAACTCCCAGAATGCTTCTGTCAATCCAAATTCATCATTGGTTGGTATCCGCAGCACTTTGGATACTGCCATTCCCTCTTCAAGATTCTTGACGCAATCTGGTTTCAAAGTATGATCTGAATAATATTCAGGGGAGGAAAGGTTGCCCCTTTTAATTTTCCACTCCTTTGAGTTGGTCAATTCTATCAAACGTCTTGCAGTCACCCGCAACGCAAATTTTGCGGTGGGTCCCTGTAATAATAAAACAGAGCTCGTTTTGGTGGGATCGTTGTTGTCGTTTAACGAATAATGTCCTAGGCTGGCTGGCGGAGGAACACGTACACTTGTACGCGTACGTGTACCACAGCATCGGAGGGGGCAATGAGAGGCCACGAGTAACCTGCAGCAAAAAATCTCAGATCTTTGAACTTTTGCACCCATCATTATCATCACTTGCACTGCACTGTCACTCGTCATTGTCATTGCCATCCCATTTGCCATTGCAGAATATCACAGTCCCTTCTTAGTGCCTTAGAATTGGCGCCCAGAGCACCTGTCGCCCTTATTCCTTTTCCACCATGACGAGTGATAACAAAACCATCGCAAATCGTTCCAATAAGCGACCAGCGAAAGGAGCAAGCGACAACAAGAACAACGACCAAAGCAGCCAAACGAAGAAAAGAAAAACGGTCAGCACTCCACCTGCTGATGAAAAAACACTTGGAGACTACATTGCAAATGAAGACGAATGGTTCAATGATGATGCAACTGATGTGGAAAAAGAGAGCTCCAAATATATGAAGATCAAGTTTTTGAAAAAAGATGAAGACCAGATTAAGCTTACTCAAAAACGTCTGAAGGTCGACCTGGCTCATTTCTTGAAAACTGGAGAAACTAAATTGATCGTCGCAAGTACCGAGGCAACTGCATCGCAGCGGGTGGCAAGCATTGAGTTCGACATTAATGCCATCAAGATGGAGTACAAACGAGATTTGACCGCATTCGTTGATGAGGTGAAAAATCTCTTCGACTGGTTAGAAACAGGG